CTAGCACACTATAAAACTAATACTAATAACTACTATTATTATGTTATTATTAATCCACCCAGTCAGTTATACATATGTCCCTGCCTCTCTCATTCAGTTCTCACAACCTCCCTGTAAAATGAAATCTGTGTCCATTTAGGATTGGGTTTGATTTCATGTAAAAGAAAAATTAAACACAGACTTAAAAAGAAAGTGGCTTGTGTAATCACCCCTCAGTTTACTAGCTGAAACTAACCATTGATTTGCCCAGTACTCTGTGGGTTGGCAGTCTGGACTGGGTTCTGTGGGGATAGCTTGTCTCAGGGTCATCGTCCATCTGCAGTCACCTGTGGTCAAAGGCCTCACTAACATGGCTGTTGTCTGGTTCTAGGCAAGGGTACGAGGTAACTGAGTCACTTGGCCCCTCAACCTCCAGCAGGCTAGCCCAGGCTTACTCACATGATGGTCTCAGAGTCCCTAATACAGCAAGCCCCACACCCAGCCCTTTCCAAGAGTTGGCCTGTTTCCATTGACTGAAGCAAGTCACATGGTCCAGCCCAGATTCTGGGGATGGAGGAGATTCAGGTGTTGATGAGGGAAGCTGCAGAGTCACACTGCAAAGGGGTGAGCTTACAGGAATGAGAGGAATTTGAGACCATTGTTGCAAAATATCTACTTGGATTCACATCAAGAAGCCTGGCGAGCCAACTGAAAGAGCTCCCAATGGCCAAAGGTGGAACAATTTGAGAAAAAAAAAAAAGATTATAACTCAAAAAACAAAATAAATATCCATGAGTCCATACTGGAATATAGATATATTCAAATATGGATATTTGAATATAATTCAAATAAATGATTGAATAAATAAGTAGGAAAAATAAATAATGAGGAGAAATAAATCTCCCATGCAGAAGAATTCAAGTAATTTATGTAGATACTCCACCTTTAAGGAGGGAAACATAACTCCCCACTCCTTAAGTGTGGGCTGCACATAGTGACCTTATTCTGAAGAGCACAGAATGGAAAGAGAAAAAAAGAGTAACTTTAGAATGTTGAACCTGATAGTGATCCACACTGGTGAGGCATGTTGACAGTATCTACCTTTGAGTAAATGTGAAGACAGTGCTACTTTTACCTCTGTAGTTTTCCTCCTAAAACACATTACCCTGTTCTAATTATAAGAAAAATATTATCAGTTACCAATACTTGACCAGTACTCCTTAAACTGTCAAGGTCATAAAAATAAGGAAAGTCTGAGAAACTGACATAGCCAAGATATGGCCAAGAAAACATGACTACTAAATGTAATGTAGTATCCTGGATGGAACCCCAGAACAGAAAACGTATATTTAGGAAAAACTGAGGAAATCTGAATGAAGTGTGGACCTTTTAGTTTATAGTAATACAATGATAGTGTTCATTAAATAGGCCAAGTATATCATACTAATATAAGATGTTAATAATAGGGGAAACTGGGTGTGGGGTATATAGAAACTCTGTATTATCTTTGCAATAATTCTGTAAATTGAAAAAGTTTATTTTTAAAAAGAAGTCTGGAAATGTCAATCCAGACTGGAGCTGGTGGTCTCTATGATGTTATCAATGTCTCAGGTTCCTTCTAGTTCATGCAGCTTCATTCTCAAAATCACATCTTGATCCAAGATAGCTGCTGAGGCTCTAGCCATAATGCCTGAGTCCCATATAGGAAAAAAAAGAGAAAGAAGGGCAAATTAGCTTTCCTCCCAGCTACATGAGTGTTTTCTAAGGCTATTTTCGAGAAAGTTCACCTAACAACTTCCACTTCTTGGCCACCAATAGCCATGCTGGGAATAGCCATGACAGGTTGGGAATGTAGTCTTTTAGGTGCATACTTTGCAACCAGGAATAAAATTAGGGTTTGATCAACAAAGAAAATGGAGAGGAAGGAATTGCATAGTCAACTGGCAGGCTTTCATATGATATTATAATTCCATTTTGGAAATGAGAAAAACAGGCTCAGAGAGGTTGAGTGACTTGCCCATAGTCAGAAGACTAGGCAAGGAGGAAGATGGATTTGAACTCGGAAATCATGGCTCTTAAGCCTGTGGCCCTGACTACTAAGGATACTGCCCTGGCATCACTAACATTACTTTAGTGACATGGATGATGTTGCTTTGCTAGACCTGAATTGCCACTAGCAGTGTGAATGCTGTTTCTTCCGGGTCTGTCACACAGGTCAACCCAAGTCCGAGCACTAACCTCATTCTCCCATGACTCAGCTCTATGTTCACAGTAAAACTTCCTTCCCAGCCTCTACTCCTGCATAATTTGGGCTTCACTTACCAGGAATTCATCTGTACACATCAAGGCACCGTCTGCCCTTTCCTCATCACCCAGAGCTGGATACAGTGGAAAAGCATAGTGGTCAAGACCACAGTTTCTGGAGTCAGCCTGGGTTCAAACCTTGGCTACAGCCCTTACTCACTGTGTGACCTTATTGCAAGTTAGTTAACCTCTCTGTGCCTCAACATCCTGAGCCATGAAATGAGGATGTTAACAGTCCCTATCGTATAGGGTTGTTATGATGGTGAAATGAATAATACTTGACGTTGGCAAAGCACAGTGCCCGGCCCATGTAAATGCTATTTTCAATAAATGCTGTTCTTTGGTGCCAGTGTCATTCCAAGACCAAATAAATCTCAAGCAGGACTCACTTATAGTCATGCAGATGATTCATGATACATCCGAGTTACTTTTTTAGGGTTATCATCAAAACAAAATTATTTAATAATTTTAAAATCCTTATGGCAAACTCATTTACCACCATCCCCAGTACATCCCCAGATATCACCTTGGGAAACACTGATTTGGAGCAAAAGACACAGGCATTTCAAATGTGACTCAGACCCCAGTTCTGCCATGAATTTATGGTGTGACCTTGGACAAGTCCCTGACATTCTCTGGGCTGTTTGCTCAGCCCCTGAGTGGGATATTGATACTGTTGCCAGGCCAAATGTGACAATTGGTTGGGAAAGGAATTTGTTATCTGTGACTTGCTTGGGGACCCAAGCTTGATATGGGGGAAACAGGTTCTGCTACTAACTAGAGACATGCTCCCAACTCCAGGAATTACCCCTGTTTAGGGCCAGGATTAGGGGAACTCAGCAGCCCTCCAGGATCTCTTTAACCTGCTGTGTGGCTTTATGTAAAGTCCCTCCTCTCTGTGGTCCTCAGTCTCCCCATCTGCTCATTGAGGACCCCCTGGTTCCATCCCACTGGACCACACAGAGAGGCTAAGTCTTTGCCTAAGGTCACACTGCCAGTAAGTCATGAAGAACCGAACTTTTAAGTCCAGTGTTCTTTCTGCACAGAAACACCCCACAGCTGCCTGCACAGACCAGAGGGGCCACTGCTCCATCCCACAGTCTGCCCTCAACCCCCAACAGTGCTCTGTTCCCCCAGTCACATCAGCCAAGGGGAGGTGGATGGCAAACACTAGAAAGTGACTAACCAAGGAGCCCAAGGGGGATTTATGGGAAGGGATTCCCAGGATGGGGGAAGACAGACTCCAACATGAATATTCCTCAGAGACACCTGGAGGCTCAGTGGCACAGCCTATGGCTGTGCTCTCTAGACAACAGGCCAGGAATGCATCTCCAGCCAGTCTCTGCCTGTGCACCCTCCATTCAAGTTTCGAATTCCCAGAAGAGACTTTGCCGGCCTAGCCTGCATTCAGGTGTCTGTCACCACCAGAGAAATCAGCTATGCTCAGAGGACAACATGCATAATTCAGACGTGGCTGGTGGGGATACCATAATGATATCCACCCCAGTGTGTTTCTATGACACACATTCCCACCCCAGCCATTTGCACAAAGCTATTGCCATCCCTTTACAGGCAGTTCCATAAACAGAACAGAAAGAAATGCATATTTTTGTTTCCTAAAACCTGCCTGTGGGCTTACTATTTATAAACAGTGACACTTGGGGCGTGGCTCTAGATAGGCGCAGAGCCAGAAGGTTGGAGGCAAAGAACTAATTTGTTTCCCAGAAATGCAGGCTCTGGCCCATCCCACAAACATGTATCTCCAAGTAAACCAAACTTTGCTCCCTTGGAAGTTCTGTCCTGCTGCCTCTTCCAGCAGCCACATTCTAGGTCATACACTCAGAATGATAGTGACAGTCATAAAATCAGCTGGCATTTTTTTTTTGAGGCATTCAACTAGCTACCTGACCTGCATCTCTCATGTAATAGTGAGTATCATTAATAGTCCCATTTTACAGGTGAGAAAACTGGGGTTCAGGGAGCTTAAGTGACTTAGCCAAGGTCATACAGCTAGCAAGAAGCCAGAATTTGATCCCTAAAATGGCCAACTACAAGGGCCCTAAGACATATCTAGGGCACAAGATCATCTAGCAGATGGGGAAACTGAGGCCCACATGAAGGAAACAGTTGGGGATATGCACTTGTATGTTTACAGAGCTCCCACCAAAAATTTCATGTGCCTTAGCCTGTTGACCATCTGGAGGAAAGCATGCCTGCTCCTTTTTCACAGATGTGGGTGCTGCAGCTCAGCAAAGGGACATCCCTTGACCAGGGTCCTACAACGGGTGAGTACATCTGAGATCCCATCCAGGGTCCCTTTGACCAATGCCTGCACTTTGTCCCTCTCTTCTGAAGTCCCAGATTCGGGCCTGGCTCCTGCACCCAGGGGCTCTGCTCTGCTGTGGGGCGAGGGCTCTACTCCTACCCACCTGGCCTGGCCCAGGGAGAGCCTGCCTGAGCTTGCTGCCCTGGGAGCTGAGGGTATTCAGTAGGTGGCCAGAGGCCCCAACAGAGGAGGAGCCGGCAGAGGGGCTGGTATTGCAGCCTCCCGGGAGATGAGAGGCTGGACCTCGCAGGACTTCTAGGGCTGGGACAGCCTCTGCCTGACATTGCCTCCCTGCAGGAACCAGGGTTCCAAGTCCTGCCAGCTCTCTGGGACACAGTTTCCCCATCTGTGCATGAAGAGGTTTGACTCAATGGCTGCTAAGAATCCTGTTAGCTCTGACATTGTAGGATTATAGGATGCCTGTATTAGTCATCTATTGCTGAGCAAAAGTTTATTACAACGTTGTGACTGAAAACAATAAACTGCCGGTTTCTATCAGTCAGCAGTCGGGGCACGGCATAGCTGGGTTCTCTGCTCTGGGTCTCAGCAGGCTGAGATGGAGCTGTCAGCTGCACTGTGTTCCTTTGTGGAGGCTCAGGGTCATTCCAGTGGTCAGCAAAGTTCAGTTATGGTGGTTTCTGGTCTGAGTTGTGCATCTCCTTGCTGGCTGCTGGCTGGGGGTCAGTCTCAACCCCTGCAGGCTACCTCAGGTTCTAGTCATCTTCATGTCCCTGTTTCCCTCTCCTCCCACATCCAGTCCTGGCCTGTTGGCTCCACCTGCAGAGTAGATCCAGAATCTGACACCCTACAGCCTCCACCCCTCCATCCCGGTCCAGCTCCTTCATCTCCCACCAGGACTGTGGCAGCAGCCTCCTCACCTCCCTGCTTCCTTCCTCACCACCCTGCTTGGCAGCCTTGAGGGAAGAGGGGTCTGATCCTGTCCCACCTCTGCCCAGAACCCTCCTATGTGTCCTCACTGTAACCTACAGGCCCTGCACCATCCAGCCCTCTCCCCCTCACTCATCCCACTCCTGCCATACTGGCCTCCATGCTGTCCCTCAAACACACCAGGCATGCCCCTGCCCCGTTCCCTCTGCCCAGAACACTCCTGCCCACAGACATCCACGAGGCTCCCCTTACCTCCCGGTCTCTGCTAAAATGTCACCCAGTCAGTGAAGCCTGCCCTGACCACCCTGTTTAAAAGCACACTCCCCACTTCTAATAAAGTTAAATATACATGCACTACTAGGCCCAGCAATTCCATTCCTAGACATTTGCCCAAGAGAAATGAAAATATATGTGCACACAAGGAGTTGTACACGAATGTTCATAGCAGCTTTATCTGTAATAATAACCAAAAAGTGGAAATGACCTGGCTGTTCATCAGCAGTCTGGATGAATAAGCAAGACATGGGACACGGACTGTTTCTCAGCTCTAAGAAGGGAAGAACACTCAGCAACACGGATGAATCGCACATGTATGATACTGAATGAAAGAAGCCAGATTTCATTTGTATGAACTCCAGGAAACACAAATCAAGTCTACTGTGAAGGAAAACTGCCCAGTAGTTTCCCAGATGAGAATGGGGTGGGAGTGGGGAGGCGCATGCAGGGACTCTATGGGGTGATGGAGATTGCTAACTTGTCTGTAGTGGTGGATACACAGATGTCTACAACTGTCAAAACTCATCAAACATATCCCTAAAATGGGTAGACCTTGCTGTGTATCACTTACACCACAACAAAAAGGAGAAACCCAGAGTCCCTGCCGCCCTTCACTGCTTCATTTTTCTGCACAGCATTTCCACTCTCTTGTATGTATTGCCTGTCTCCCCACTGTAATGTTAGCACCCCAAGAGCAGGAAATTTTATTTGGGTGCCTTTTTTTCTTTTTGATTTCCACTGTATCTTTAATACTTAGAAGACTATTTAGCACATAGTAGGTGCTTAATGAATATTGGATGGATAGGTGGAGGGAGGGATGGATGAGTTCAGCTCCTGAAGGATCACAGCCAGTTGATAAGGACAGCTGTTTTGAAGCATCCATATACCCTCCTGGAGACTGCCAGACAAACACCAGAATGGAAGGGCTTGTGAGACCATGGGAAGCGTCATCATTCCACCCGGGGCTGCGCCATCACTCAGGCATTTGAACGACGCTGTTCCTGGGCCTGTGTCATGCCCACCACTAACCTTGGCAGGCGGCCCAGTCCAGAACCTGAGGCCCATTGGCTGGGCTTTCCCATGGGTGCTGTGCATGTGGAAACCAAAATATCACCATGGAGGGTGGAGCCACAAAACCAAACTGGGCAGAGTCCAGAATGTAGCCTGCGGTCGCCCCAGAGCCCTGGTGGAGCCGACTGGGCCTATAGGCCTCATGTCTGTCTGTCTGTCTACTTTAGACTTCTTGTTGTCTGGGATTCCATTTGTGCAGCTGCACTGGAGTTGATGTAACTACCTCTCATTGATGGATATTTCCAGTTGTTTGCTATTACAAACAATGGCATAATAAATAACATTACACACTTTGTAGGGGGGTGTTTTTACATTTAAATAGTTACATACCCACATTTAAACAGTGAGAGAATAACATACTGTTTTTTGAGGTACTGATTCTTATGAGAACTCAGGAGTTTTGGCCCTACTGAGCCCATGTTCCTGGGATGTGGCAGTGGACTGGGACAGGGCCCCCACTGTCTCTGAGCCAGGGCAGAGCATCTCCTTCACCACTGCCCCACCCCATTTTGCCAAGAGGGACACAAAGACCCAGACAGTAAGTGACACATCTGCCTATATAAATGCCACTGAGTCTCAGGAAGGGGTGAGTGCTGAGGTCTCAGCCACCTCGACTTGCCACCCTCCCTGCTCCTGCCCTCCCTCACCCCCACTGGCTGTGTGACTTTGGGCATGAGGCTTCACCTTTCTGAGACTGTTGGAGGGGGTGGCAATGGTACCCACTCCCAGGAATGAGCTCCCCTGGGAGCATTTTGCTCCATGCTAGACACACAGTAGGTGATTGGGGCCTCATAGATGTTTATCAGTTGGTTTGTGTATGTGATTCTTCCAGTGGTTTAAATGCTTAACTACTGGCAACTAATTACATTTTTAAATACTTACACATACACACACACAGGGCAGGACTGGGCCAGACGTGGGTTCAATAGTAATTACACTACATCCCAGCTGTGTAACCCCCAATGAGGCAGTGGTCCTTTCTTGAGCCTCAGTGTCCCCACTGGTAACAGCTACTATGCAGGGTGAAATTAGACACACGCCAAGAAAGAGCTCTGCAAGCTGCAGAGGCTGCAGGCATGCAGAAGATTAAGGGATTTATCCCACCAATGGGCACCGAGGGAGGTGGGATAGGTGGAGACTGAGGGCATCCAACAGGCCTGATTTGCCCTTAACACCCTCCCAGTGCTGCTGGGCCAGCTGTCAGGCAGCCTCGGTCCCAGCCAAGTGCCAGGTTGGCAGGCTTCAGGCAGATCTCCCTCGGCTCCAGCTGGATGCCACAGTGAGAGTAGGGGCCAGCCTAGGGGCTAGGTTATTTTCATCCCCAGAAGGGACAGGAATGGGGCCCAGTCCCTTCCGCCCAGACAGGTTGTCCCCTGCACAGCCTGGAGTCTTCCTTTCCAAATGCAGAACCTACCTATAGGCCACAATACCTCACAGCGCAGCCGGGAAAACCAAGGAGCAGAACAGTGAACAGTTTATCTAGGTCACCCAGCTGGGGCTCAAACCCAGACCTCCTAATTTCCAGGAGCCCGTTTCTTCCAGCATACCAATCACACACTCATTTTCACTGACTCTTTTATCCAATGAACGTTTATGGAACACCTACTGTTCCCCCCCACAGAGGGTGGGGACACAGCACAGAGCACAGTAGAATCCCTGTCTCCTGGAGTTGCATTCTGGTGAGGGACACAGACAAGAAACAGGTCATATAGCCTCTGTTTACTGTAAGTCAGGGGATGGTGTATATTTTTCTATCAGGAAAACTAAACCAGGGTGGGGAAGTATCAACTGTTGGATGCTGATGGTTTAGCTGGGGAGGCAGTAAGAGGACAGGTCAGAGGAAACCTCTCAGAGGAGGTGGCATGTGGCCAGAGACCTGAATGAAGTAAGAGAATGAGTCATGCAGATGTCTGGGGTAGGATAGATATTGGCAATGGGAACAGCAAGTGCAAAGGCCCTGAGGTAGGAATATGACTGGTGTACTCCTGAAATGTCAAGGAGGCAGTATGGCTGTAGGAAAGCAGATAAAGGGAAGGTGGAAGAAGTAACAGGAATCCAGGTCATGAGGGCCTCATAGATCATAGTTAGACATTTGTGCTTTATTTCAGGCTGCCTGACAAGATGGACCCTCATGTTGTACAAATAACCCCATAATCCACATGGTCTGGCCCTTGTGCTCCAGCTTTAGCCTCACCCATTTTCTCTCTGTTCCTAGAATCTGATCCTCCCACCACAGGGCCTTTGTACATGCTGTTCTTTCAATCTGGAATCCTTTTCCACTCCTATCCTCTCTTCTCCTATTAATGCCTACCTATCCTTAATACCTCAGTTCAATTATTTCAGGCTTTCAGACTTCTCTGGCCAGGTCAACTACTCATCCTTTCCTCCAGAACCTAATGTTAGTAACTATAAAATTACTGGGATGATCAATTAATTAATGTCTACTTGCAACCTAGACTGAGCTCCCCAAGGACAAGTGTTTTGGCACATTTTGTTCACTACAATATCCCCAGGACATGCCTAGGGCTTGGCATATAGTAGGCCCTAATAAAGATGTGTTATATTAATGAACAAAGGAACAGCATAGACACTTTATAAATATCATCTCATTTCATTCAATTTTATTCGGTTTACCAAGTTCAGGGAGGTGAGGCAACTTGACTAAAGTTGGAGAGCATGTAGGTAGTAGCACCTGGAAATCCAGCTTTTTCTGATTCCAATGCTAGGAATTTTCCCCAATACTTTACCTGGCACACATAGGATGTGGTACATTGAAAACTGGCTGCAATAATTCCTCCATGCTTGCATTCATGCCCTTTTGCAATGTGACTAACAGATAGCATCTATTTCTCAACCCATTGAATCTAACTTAGTCATGTCACTTTGGCCAATGGGACATTAATAACCATGACACAAGCAGAGGCTTTAAAAAGCACTTGTACACTAGTGTTTGTCCTTTCTTGCTAAATGTGGAGCCCTGAGATTACCATGTGAATGAGCCTGAACTAGCCTCGTGTAGGTTAACTGAGCCACCCCAGCAAATAGTCTGTCGACTGCCAGACACGTGAGTGAGGCCCTCTACAACACCCAAACCCAGCTACCTGCAACTACATGAGTGAGTCTGAGAAAAACCAGAACTGCCTGGCTGAGGCCAGACCAGATTGTCAATTCATAGAATCTTGGACTAATAAATTATTATCTTAAACCACTGGGTTTAGGGGGGTTTATTACACAGCAAATACTAACTGATACACTACCTGGTGAACACTCACTATGCAGACAAAACCTATACACATACACATACACATATGCACATAAGTGTACACAAATGGCCTTGCTAGAAAATCTGTTGGCACCCACACAGACACCCACATGCTCCTCACAGGTCACATATGCACACGACCCCACACACACCCCTGTTCAGACCACTCTCCTGGCTGCTCACATGTCAATGTAAATGCCAATCTGGGGATGGGTGGGTCAACAATACCTAAGCTCTATGTCCCTGGCACTTTGCAGTGCAGTGCAGGGCATGGAGAAGGACCCTGCAGACTTTTGTGGAATGAATGGATGAATAAAGCAAAGGGCACAGAAGGAGCCATAGGTTGGCCCCAGTGAGCAGAGGGTGCTGAGGGTTCCTGTGGGTAAATAGGCCTGGTGGTGGGGCTGCAGCTTCACTTTTCATCCCTCTTGGAGACCCATGCTGGCAGGGACTTACCGTGGGTGCCCATAAATGATTATCTTACAGATTGTACTTGTGCCTGGGCTTCTATTTTTAAAATTTGTTCCACTTTTTCTTTTTAAAAAGTGGGGGTGGTTTAAAAATCATTGAAAAGGTCTCAGGAAGGAAACTGGGACCAATAAATTAACCTTCTGTGTGGAAAGATGGGGAAATTGAGGATGTCAGAGAATTAAGAATGGCTTAACAGGAAACTAAGGGAAAGCAGGTAAAGCAGACAGTGACTCCAGGAATAACCAGGAGTTTCACAAAGAAGGGAATGTAACCATAATATGTGATACATGTGATTTGGCTTGGCAGGAAACAGGATTTATAAAGTTACAATATAAATCATGCTAAATATTTATTCAATGGCAAATTGTAATAAATGTAGATTGAAAGGAGAGAAGGGGGAGAAAAATTAATTCTTCCTTGGCAGTAATAATTACGAAAGGAAATGGTTTGCCCACTTCCTGGATAATGTGCATTATTCCAGGCACATGCTGAATCCTTATAACAATCCAATAATTTAAATATTCTTATTACTCTCATTTTACAAATGAGGAAATTGAGGCACAAGAAGTTAAGTTACTTGCCCTAGGTCACATGGCTGGGGTGCAAACCCAGGCAGTCAGGCTACAGAAACCACGCAGTGAAGGCATAGACTAGAAAGTTGGTCAATATTTGCCTAAAATTAATAAAGAAAACAGCAGGAAAAGCAGGTTACTTAGAAATACAGATCAAAGTATCAAAAGAAATAGTTAAAAGAATTGAATGTGGTTGCTTTTGGGGTTGGGAGTGAGAAGGACAGGGCAAGGGAATGTTTTTGTACTAGTACTATTTAATTTATATAGACACATACATATATCCATGAGGTGGGGACAGGAAGCGACAAGGAAGAGACCAGGGAACATTCCGTGGGAATGGTGTTGCTCTATGCCCTAATTGGGGTTTGCGATACAATATGTACTTGTTCAAACTCAGCAAATGGTACCCTTAAGGTGGGTGCATTTCACTGTATGTAAATTTTACCTCCTCTATACCTGCAAAAGAAAAAAGAACTGTAAACAAATATTGAACTCTAACAAGTGAGATGCACACTGAGGTGCCTTTAAGGGGCAGGTATAGATGTTTACAACATACTTTGAAAAGCTTCAAAAATAAGTTGTCTTAATAGGATGGATAGATGCCTAATAGAGCAATCTAGCAAAATATTAAGAATCATACATCCAATAGGTGGGTACAGAAGTGTTCTCTGTATTATTCTTTCAACTTTAAGTTTTACATTTTTCTTAATAAAGTATTGGGTGAAATATATGAATGTATTACCTGAAAAATACTACTACATTTTTAAAAACCTGGATGGGGCATTCTGTCTTGGGCCTGAATGAACACTAGCCCTCCTGTGTGCATATCCATCTTGGGGCAGTTGTCACCATGCTCTCGCATATGTCTCCACTCCAAGCTGGGACCCTAGAGTCTAATTTCTCAGTCCCTCACTGCTCCCTCTGGACACAGGATGTCAGGCAGGATGGGAGTCGCCTCCCCATGAATGCCTCAGGAACAGAACCAGAACTATTTCACCAGGGACAGGAACAAGGCCCTCTAGGGCTACCTCCCATCCTCTGCCTAAAAGGTAAACTGAGGTCTGGCAGGTGGGGACAGGTGCCTTTCCCAGGGACCCATCACACCTTCATGATGGAAGCAAGCAGCCAGGTCGCTGGTCTCCCAAGCCCATGTGTATATAATTAGCTGGTGGGAACTAGATCAGGGAGCAGATCTCATTTCTTTCTAATTAGGGGCTAGGCAGCTGGGGCCAGTCTGTCCTGGGGTAGCTGCTACAGAGGCCAGGCAGCCCCAGGGGATGGGGCAGCAGCTGCAGGCCCTCAGAGGGGCTGAAACGCAGCGGCTGCGCTTACTGCCCCTCACACTCCAACTAGAGGCAGAACAATAGAGGGGCTGTTTCTGCAGATCCCCGAGGTTAGCAGGATGGGACTAGCGGGCTGGGGTTTTGGGTGAAGGAGTGACGAATGGCAGAAGCCCCCAGCTGCTCCATTCACGGATCTCCATGTGGGAGGCTGGTAAGCTTCAGAATCCTGGTGGAGGGGAAGCCCTCCTGGAGGCAGGAAACCCTTGTCAGGGAAGTCAAAGCTCCAATAGGCACCTTTTCCACCTCCGATAATCGCCTCCCCGCCCCGGCTCTCTTCCCAACAGACCCTCCCATGACCTCTCAGCTGACCCCAGCCCAGCTCCTGGGAACAGCTCTGGTGTTAGGGCAGAGTCACTGAACATACCTGCTCTAGATTACCTGACTATGTGCTTGCTTCTTAGCTGCCCTTTCTTCCTCCAAGACAGACCCATGACTGTCTTACCCACTACTGGGAATCCAGTAAGTGCTCATGAAAGTGACCAGGAGGAAACACCTGTGTCGGGAGAATCAGGGAGGTAGACTGCTGCTAACTGTGGGGTGTCCAGTGGCAGGGTGTGACCCCAGGCTGGAGTGCAGACCTTCTCTGTGACAGCCCACAAGCCACCCTCCTTCTCTAACACAGAGATAGCCTTCTAAGGTGACCCTCAAAAGGTCACCTAGAGTATTCAGTGACAGAATGCATGTGAAGGGTCGGAGTTCGGCAGAGAAGCCTCCTCCAGGAACAAGGGTCTCCTGACCCATCACCCACCAGTCCTGTGAACTGAATCTCAATTTTTTCGCATGTAAAATGCAGCCAACACCCCCACTTTCTTGGGTTTTTAGGTAACTGGCAGTTTTTAGGTAACTGGCAGGGTGAGGCTTAGCACAGAATTCTGGATTGGTTGCCTGCTGGTTTTTTGACACTTCAAAGGCCAGTGCCTCTGCAGAGCCTGCCCAGATTATCACACTGACCATATGACTCCTTTAACGTGAGGACCAGGAGGCCCAGCTCCTGCAGTATCAAACCTGTTGGGTGCCTGTGGGCAGGTCATCTTCTTCTCTGTGCCTCAGTCTCCTCATATGTACCATGAGGGGGTAGACTCCATTCTTAGAGCTTGGACACCAAACTCTTCCGTAACCCTATCTCCCCTTGTCTCCCCCAACCTCCCAGGCCCAGCCCAATTCCCTGGGGGCTGGTGGTAGACTGTCAGATAGACAGACAGGCAGCTGGGCTGACCTGGATGTTTGTCAACAGCCAACGGAAATCTCCTCTTTATGCCTAAAATAAAACCTACATCAAACCTGTCACCAGGGCCCCCATTAGAGCTTCCTGTTACTGAGTGCTGGAGCCAAGGCAGTCTGCAGAGAGGAAGCACCACCCAGGCCCTCTGCACTCCTACCCCAGGGGTGGGCAGAGGCCACCCAGGCTTTCACTGTGCCCAGTCCTAGCCCTAGCTCCAGCCACGGTGGAGCCTCCCAGCAGGTAACTAACCTAGAGGGAGACAGGAAACTGTTGAAACCTCAAAGCGCAGTACCAGCCTACTCCTTCCCCTCCCTGCAACCCAGATATGTCTATGCCTCCAACTCTCCCATGGAGAACCAGAGAAGGAGCTCATCCTGTCCAGGGTCCCCCAAAGTTGGAGGCAGGGCCACTTGTTTTGCACTGTTCCCCCCATACTCCCTCTTCCTGCAAGAACTCCCACTTCCAACCCCCAATCTACAGCCTGTGTAACCACAACTTGAGGGTTTGCCCTCTTGGGAACTGGGCAGAAGGGGGAGGGAAGGTCCATGTACCCATAAGCCTCTCCCCTGCAGGTCTGCTTCCTGGTACAGGGGAAAGACCCCAGGTCCAGCTCTAGCCAGACTCACTCTGTGGCCAGACCTTGTTTCCTCCTCTATGAAGGAGGCCCACAATCTCCCAGAGGGGTTGTGATGATCCCCTGTGAGGCAAGTCTCAGGCTAGCACTGACCTCATGCCCACCAGACCCTGTGGTAAACAGGGAGTTTTGAAGGCCCCACCACAGGACTTCTCCCACCCCTTCCCCTTATGAACACAGAAGAGCTTGATGACCCAGCCTTTGAAAAACAAGCATTTGTGTTTATTAACCAAAGGGAGGGAAGCTGGAGCACTGCAGACTCCTATCAGTCCCTCCTATAGTCTACCCATCTGGGCCAGGCTGCCAAGGCCCTGGACATACAGTGGACAGGCCACTCCTCCCTGCCCGCAACCCAGGGTGAGTTCCCGGGGAAACAGGGCCTCCTGGGTAAGGAAGAGGAAGCCAGCAAAGGACAGAGGCCAAGGAAGAAGGAAACAGAGCTGCTGGGTGAGCCAGGCCTGGTGAGATTCCCTTGGCCCTCACTCTCAGAGGGGAAGGCTAAGTGCCCTAAATCCAAACCCCTGAGACCACCTAAGCAGCGGTACACTCATGTCAACACCCCTACATGTGAAGGGTAGGGAGTGGTCCATGACAAAGAGGCAATTGTCTCCAGGGTCATTCCTTGTCAGGTAGATGCTGGTCCAGCCTCTGAGCTTCTACCTCAACACCAAGTTCACACAAGGCACGGCCCCTGGTTTGCCCCAAGCCAGGAAACAGACGCAGGAGAGATCAAGGGGCCACCTGCCTGCCTAAGGCGGGCCTTGTGGCTAATGCCCAGTCCACTGGAGGCCTAGCCCTCAGCTGCTGGGGTCTCCCGCGCTTGCCGCAACCCGTACAGCCACTTGATCACGCGGGCGTTGCGCTCTATCACCGACACCCCATAGGGGACACGCTCCCGGGCCCGCTCCTCAATAGTGGCAGAGCTGCGGAGGGAGCAGCCCCCCTCAGAGCTGCCCGGCCCAGCACTGGGTCCAGCCAGGGACACTATGTCCGAGCTGGCCCGCGCCAGGTGGGCAACACCCAACCCCTGTGCCTCCTCGGGGTCCAGGCCGCAAAAGTTAAAAAATCGCTCAAGGTCAGCAGCTGCCCGCGAGAAGCGCTCACTCAGGTCCGACTTGGAGCGTTGCAATCCTGGTGGCCGAGCTGGGCTGGAGGCAGTGGCAGTGCCTGGGGATGGGCAGTGCCGAGCAGGTGAGGCAGGCAGGGGACGGACATCCACTCGGCGGACTGCAGTCGTACTGGGCGGCGGGCGTTGGGAGGTGGCTGGGGGGTCCTGACGGGTTCCCTCTGCCCTTCCGGGGACACGGCTAGCCTCTGCAGGGGACACAGGGCTGTCACACAAGTTGATGAGGCTGCTAAGAATGTCCAGGTCCAGCTGCGGCCGGCGGCCGGGGCCAGGCAAAACTCGGCGACTAGGTGTGAGCACCGTGCGGCGAGTCCCAGGGCTGAAAAGTGGCTGCTTGGACAGCAGGGGCTGCACAGGTTCCTGACGGGTGTTGGCCACATGCAGGCTCTTGACGTACTTGGCCTTGTCGGCCTCCAGGCGCTCCACAGCACTGGGTTTCCGGGCTCCACCATCTGCTGGCCGGCGTAGTAAGTAGCCAGGAACCTTGGTCCGCAGGCGGAAAGGTAGGGAGGGGGTGTCTCGACCTCCAGGATTCAGCGTGTCCACAGGCATGGCTATTACATACCCTGAAGGCTTCGGTATGAAGAGTCCGGAGAATGTGGAGATGAGATTCAAGAAGAAAGACGCCTGCAACGGCTGCAAGGGACGAAAGGGAAGGGCTAAGCACGCTCAAACAAAGGCTCAGCAAATACTGAGGCCGAAGCCGCCTTCCCTATTAAAAGGTAAATGCCACGCCCCTGATTCTCAGAGAGCCAATCAGCGGGCAGAAGGCAACAGCTGAAGGGCCTGTGGCTCCACCCACATTCCCGCCCTTCTCTGAGGACCAAGCGGGGAGAGAAAAAAAGTGCCAAAAAAGAAAGACACGGGCAGTCAGAGCAGAAAATACAGGGCAAGGCACGCTCTCAAGGAATCAAAGTGGGCTCCAGGCTGTGTGCTGGTCACCAGCCAGCTCAACCTCAGTGGGTTCTCACTGAGGTTGCAGATGGGAAAACTGAAGCCCAGGCGGGTAACCAACGGGATTAAGCTAACTCAGGAGGTTGGTGGCTTCCCTTGCTTCCAAGCAGGGAAGTGCTGGGAGAGGGGTCTCGGGGTTGGGGGACCAAGAAAAAGAACTCCAACCCCACACCCCAACTGGACTACCTACAGAGAGCTTGCTAGCACCTCTACTCCTCACCCACCCAGGCAGGAAGCTGCCCTGTGCCATCCACCAGCCTAGACATGCCAGGCCCTAGGCATAGCAGCAGAGCTTGTGCGGGAGGAGTGTAGAAAATCCCCACCCCTGCTTCAGTGGCGTCCAGATACCCATCAGCTTCCAATATGGGACTTCAATACCAAGCCCACAGTGATCTGTCAAGTGGAAACGTCAGGCCTCAGCTATGCTGCTCCAAGAGGAGCCAGGAATGCCCAAGATTGCACAGCCCTTCTTGGGAGCATCCAGCAGACTCTGGATCTGCCAGCAGCCACAGGATGGGCACCCATGAGCTGAAAGGCCCACACCTGGGCACATGATAACAGAAGCATCAGGGTCTGGTGGCATAAGGCCACCCTTGACCCTTTTTCCAATGAAGGGCTAGAGCAGTGCCTCCAAAACCCCCCTGAAGATAGTCTAGAAGAAAATCCATAGGCCAAGTCCTGAATCTTCTCATCTGTAAAATAGGGAAAGGAGGATTCTGTCCAGGCGATCCCCAAGGGGACTGGCAGTTCAAGCCATCTACACATATGTTGTCTAATCCAATACAAGCCACATATGGTACCCAACCCTAGCTAAATAAAAACATACAATTCAGTTTCTCAGTCACACTAGCCACATATGCTCAATAGCTATATGTGGACAGTGGTCCAATTAGAGCATTTCCGTCCACAGCAGAGAGCTATGCTGGACAGCCCCACCTAGACATCCGACGCCAGGAGAGAGAGTCTGGATTGGGGTGGGGAGGCAGGGATCTCTACCATGTGCTAGATGTCTGACACCGTCCTCCCCCATAACCCTCTAACACGCCTGTAAGATGGGTCACTGTCATCTCACTGGAGAACTGAGACTCAGTAAAGTGACCAGGCTAGATCCCAGAGATGATAAATGCAGCACAAATTCATATCAAGCCTGCGTCACATATCTATTTTGTTTATGGCAGGTTTACTCTTTGTTGCTCCCATTCCCCTAAAATATAAACTCCATGAGCAGGGTGGGGCAGGAGGAAGGGAGGATTGTCTGTTTTGTTCATTGTATCTATTTCATTGTATCTGCTCTCAATGCTCTCAATGCATAATAGATATTCAATAAATTTTTATGGAATTAGGATGCCTATGGAAGCCAAATGTGAATGGGCAGAGTGGGGATAAACTGGAAAGGGACACACCCACTGACTACAGGCATATGGGTCCAGAGCAGTAGGTGCAGTGTTCTAGGAAGCAGAAATCCAGAAGTACATGACAACTCTAGATTCTTAAATTTTAGCATAGTCGGTAATTATAATTTTAAAACATTGCATGGATGAGGCAAACATGTCTGTAAACATATCTGCTCCCCACTCCCCTAATCTGGCCCCCAACCTCCAGTTTGAGAACTCTGCAGCAGCAATGGCAAGTTGAGAATAGAACTTTGGGTGTTTTGGCCCACAGGTACTTCCGAGGTAGAAGGGTTGGAATAGGTGGGAAAGGAAGGCTGCCCCCCTCACAGTCGACCCCCAGGAACCTCAAGCGGAAAGGGTCTGGAGGGAAAAGCACCCTTGCTAAGCCCTAAGTAGGTAGACTCTGCTCCACCCCTGGGCCACCGCCTCCCAAACCAGTCCAACCCGTCTGCTGCGGCAGTTCCTTCCTAGGCACCGTCATGGGAAACAGAGGGAGGAAGGAGGTCAGATGGGCAGGGCCAGGTCGGATGCCCCGCGCGACCCCCACCCCTCACCCCCACACGACGCCTACGCCCAGCCACGGCCGACCAGCTGGCTCAGGGGCTCCTCCCAAGGGGCCCGGACAGCTGCCCCAAGCCAAGGCCGGTTTTGGGGCCCCGGGCCCGCTCGTATAGGATTCGCCCACCTGCCTGCTGTGCTCCTTGCGCAAGCAGTTGCACTTCTCACACACTAGGTTTCCTTATCAGTGAAATGCGATTAAAAATAGACCTTCTTGAGCCTCCAGGTCACCGTGAAGATGGAGAGAGAAAACGGGCCGAGGACTTTCTTCAGCAGCTAGCAAAAAGGTGGAGGTCCAAGAACGCGGGTCCTGTTTTTTATGATGGCGTTGATGACCCAAGTCTGCAGAGCACCCCCTCGCAGAGGTCCCTAAGAACTCCAAATGGGAGCCGCGGACAAAGGAGGCACAAGACAGAGGCTAGTCAGTGTGCTGATCTGAACAAGCCCTGTTTCACAGGTAGGCAAGGGCGGTGCGGCGGCTCCAGCGACTTGAAGCCAAAGTCCCAGTCCCTTGAAGCCAGAGTCCTCGTCCTCTCTGAGGCCTCCTCTCAACGCCCAAGAATTTCAAACGCCACCCACAAATGGCCCCAAACGCGCCGGTCCCCGGCCCTTCTCGGTGGCATCCCGCGGCAAGCGGCCGCACCTGTCCCCTCCCCGCCGGCTTCCGCGGAGTCAGCCTCAGAACGCTGAGGAGGGCGAGTACGGGGCGCTCGGATCCCCGGTCTGACCTCTGCCCTTCTCGGCTTCGGAACAACCTTGGGAACCCCCCAGCCGCAGAGGAGGCCGCGAGCCTGGCGGGCGCACTGTGACCACAGCCCCTCGCCGCCCCCCTCTGGGCCCGGGCTGGCCTGGCTCTTAATGAGGAGGCACACAGCACGACTCCTACTGCCGCGTCCAAGCCAGAGGGCAAGCCCTTGCCTTGTCTCCTCTTAATGGAGGAGGGAGGTGTGCCCAGGCAGCTCCCTAAGCCGGCCCGCAACCCCCGGCCCCGGCCCGCACGTACCTGGCTGCGCCCGCGCCGCTACGCTGCGCTCCTCCGGCCCGGCCCACCTGAGGCTCAGGTAACACGCGTTTGCGCAACTTCCGGCGGCCTCCCGCTTCAGGTGAACCGCCGGCCAGAATTACCCGAAAAGAGAGAACGAAAGGCAGGCAAGGGCAGCAACCCGGTCCCAGCCAACCACTGGCCTACTCCAGGAAGCGAGCCGGGCCGCCCATTCCACAGCTGCACCGGCCACATCCGCACATCTGGCGCATGGAGTGTCAGTGGCCCACACCAGCCCGTGCATCCAGCTTGGAGATGGAAAAACTGAAGACCCCCTCCCCCACAGCCACAGTGACCACGGTTGATGTTCACTGTGCCAGGAACAGACAAGTGCCTTACCTACTATTAATTAACCCATTTTCATCTTCCCAACAACCCCTATTAGGTAAGCTCTATTACCCCCAACTGACTAATGGAATAGTGAGGCTGGGACAAGCTGAGTCAGTTGCCCAAAGTCACCCCGAGGCGTCCAACCCCGGCACTTTTCCTCCAGACAAAGCCTTAATGCCACCCCCTTCTACTTGTGCGTCCCTGAGCAGGTTGCTGAATGCTCAAGTGAGGAGAGGCCCACCTTCCAGGCCCAGTCAGTATGAGTTCTTTGTGCAAGCTATAAACATCAGTGACAACAGCAATAAGTCATAGTAACTAGAACTTTTGAGTGCCAGGCACTGTGCTTATTTAAATCTCTGGACCCCCTTGGAAGGGAGATGAATGTCCCCTCTGCCAGCCTAAGCCCTGTTGTATCACTCCCGGTGGTGTATTGGTTAGCCCAGTTTCCTGAGGCCTGGAGAAGGAAATGCCCACTGGCCTCAGGCCTGAGCCCTGGGGAAGCCGCAGAGGGCCCTGTTCCACATCTGTGGCTGGTGGGGGCTATGCCTGGATTGAGGTGGAGGGCATGAGGGAAGAGGAAGTGATTCAGGCAACAGCTCTCCACCTCCTGGGAGTGAGTCAGCCCTGAGGCCTCCTCCAGGCCCTAGAGCTGATTTTAGGAGGGTGAGGGAGGTAACAAAACCATCATTCCCCACAATGGTCTGCCTGGCCCTCCACTGAGGCAACACTGGGGTAGGGGCAAAGGGGGAGGGCTCCGTAGGTACTAATAGGAGTAAATACAAGTCAACAGTAACAATGTTCATAATAAAATATCTAAGAACTTTTCTGAGTGCCATCTTTTACCTGGCAATTCTAAGTTCCTTATATATATGAACTCATTTAATCCTCACACCCACCCTGTGAGGTAAACACTACTATTATGCCCACGTTACATCTGAGAAAACTGAGGCACAGAGAGGTGGGCCCACTAACCTGAAGTCACTCAGCTGGTAAATGGCAGAGCCAGGGTTTGAACCCAGGCATGAGTCTCAGGGCACACCAGGAGGTGGAGGAGATAAGTCTTCGGTGTTGGGCTTTGGCCACTCATCAGGGAACTCCTAAGGAATCTGTAGCCTCCTTCTCTGGGCCCTTCCCTCTCCTTCCCTAAGCCACTTTAGGAAGCACTCCCTTGCTGTGGTTCTGGGTCTCTGTTTCCTCGGCAATAAAACTGGGGTGGAGGTGGGGGGGATAATGGCAATATTTTCCCAACAGAAATCATATCTTGTCGCTGCGCTGCTATTCCCCTGTGGCTGTCCAATACCTTAGAATAAATTCAGACTCTCAACTGGACCCTCAGGCCCTCCAGGATTCAGCCCCTGTCCTCTCCCACCTCTTCAACCTTTTCTGCACTAACCACATAGCTCTCCCCACTGTTCCTGAGCACACAGGTCCTTTCTGCCGCAGGACCTTTGCACCACCTGTACTGTGCCTGGAACCTCTTCCTCACCTTCTTCAAGTCTCACTTCAAATGTCACCTACTCAGAGAGGCTTCCCTAACTACCCCAACGCTCCTGCCAACTGTCTCACCAGGGTGTTCCCTTCTAAGCATTCATCACACCCTGTCATTATAAATAGTCACTTCTCTATCACTTGTTTCCTATTTCTCCCACTGGGTTGGAAACTCCCTTACACTCTTCCATATTTTCTTCTTCTGGAAACCAAGCACATGAGGGCACATCACTGGGACCCAGGCCACCTCAAAGGCCAAGGCCATTCAATAGGAAGCCTCCTCCCAACCCCCAAGCCCTGCCCCAGACCTTCCCCCATCTGTTCCACCCACCTCTCCAGCCTCAAATTACCCCCACCCAGCCACTTCAAGCTGAGCCCTGTGCTTTCTTCAAACATACCACATACAAAGCTGTGCACACACTGGATCTGCAGCCAGCACTGCCCTTTTCCACTCCATCCCCCTGGCCACATCTATAGCATGGGCTCTGGCACCAGTCTGCCTGGGTTCAAATCCCAGCACCACCAGTGACTATGAGACCTTGGGTAAGATCTCAACTTCTCCAGGCCTCAGTTTCCCCAACTGTAAAACAGGACTTGTAACAGTGCCTCCCTCTCAGCATGAGACCTGTGCATGACAAATGCCACCCAAATATGAGCTGTGAAACTATTCAATCACACTGATACCCCAGTGCCTAGCTCTCTGGGCTTTATCAGCCCAGAATGTTGACCCACTCCTCTCAGAGGTTACAAATGTAAGAGTGCAGAGTCACTAAAATAGTTATTTTTCCCAAGAAAGTGTACACATGGCCAATAAGCACATGCAAAGATGCTCAACTTCATTAATCATTAGGGAAATGTAAATCAAAATCACAATGATAGCATGTCACTCCATTAAGATGGCCATTATTAAAAAAAATCACACACACACACACACACACACAAAAAAATAACAAGTGTTGGTAAGGATGTGGAGAAATTAGAATCCTATTTTGGTTCTAATGGTGCAGCAACTGTGGAAATGGTATGACAGGCAAAAACTTAAAAAGAGAATCACCACAGGCTCCAGTAATTCTACTTCTGGGTATATACCCAAAAAATTGAAAGCAGGGAATATACAGCTAGTTTGTACATCAATGTTCACAGCAGCATTATTCACAAGTACCCAAAGGTAGAGGCAATCCAAGTGCCCATTAACAGAAGAATAGATAAACAAAATGTGGTTTATATACACGATGTAATGTTACTTAGCCTATAAAAGGAAGAAAATCCTGATGCATACTGCAGCGTGGATGGACCTGGAAGACATTATACTAAGTGAAATGAACCGGTCACAGATGGACAAATATTATATGAATCCACTTGTATGAGGTACCGAGGGTAATCAAGTCCATAGACACGAAGTAGAAAGGTGGTTTCTAGGGCATAGGGGCCAGAGAAAAGGGGGAGTTACTGGTCATTGGGTATGGAATTTTCATTTGGGAAGATGAAAAATTTCTAAAGATGGATGGTGGTGCTGGTTGCACAACAATGTGAATATATTTAATGCCACTGAACTGTACACTTAAAATGGTTAAAATGGTAAATTTTATTTTATATACATTTTACACCTACACCCAAAAAACAGAGAGAGAGACAAAGTGCAGTCTGGAAGCCGACTCCCTGGATTCGCAGAACAATAGATTTCTCTGGGAGACCTCATGCAAGTTACTAAACCTCTCTTGTGCTGTTTCCCTTTGTAAGGTGCAAACAATAACAGCAGGAATAACCTTACATCATAGCACTGAGGGAACTCAGTGAGTTCATACTCATAAAGTACTTGGCACACAGTAAGTGCTCCAGGGATGTTACTGATTTTTCTTCATTGCCAAGAGGGTGGGAGGTGTGTTTTCTGTTTATACTTTTCATGACATTCTGCACCCCCACCCCCACCCTTCCTTCCACTTGCATCTCTCTTTCTTCTCAGCAAAAGCATGGCCCAGCCTTGGGTAGAGACAGGGAGGCTCTCACCTGCCCTAAAGGAGGATCAGGGAGGCTCCAGGCACTGGGGAGAGGGCCAGCCAGTAGGGCAGCCCCAGCTCAATTTCAGCCCAGCTGTCTGGGTCAGAGACACCCAGCTGGGCATCCTCCAGGGCCACGTCAGGCCCCATACTATTTCTGGAGTCTCCCCAGACATTCATGCCCTGGCCTGCCTGGAGTCAACCTTGCCCAGGGCCGTCGTAAATAAACCTCAGAAGGCAGAGGTGAGCAGGCTGAAGGCAGGGTATGAGTGCAGCTGCCTAAAGCTTCTATCTCCTATTTGGCCCACTTCTACCAACTGAATCTCTGGGCCTCAGTTTATACCTAAGTTTGCAAAATTTAAGACAAAGGAGCTTGCAGGGGAAATTCAATGAGAGATATCATTCAAAACCGTAGGAAAGAGGCTGGCACTCCTATTACAAACAATACTGCCACATTCCTGCACCTACATCATGTTCCCCCTGGAGGTGGGACAGCAGGGTCAAGGCACTCACCTGAAATTGTGACAGAGATGGGGGGCTGTGCTCCAGGGAGGCCATATGAGTTGAACTCCCACCAGCGGAACACACAACAAATGGTCATAAACGTTAGCTTTAGTCACTTTGATTACAGAGGTCTTTGGCACCCCTCAGTTTTGCACTGGAGGCAAGCCCCTCCCTCAGTCCCTCTTTGCAGCACACTCCAGTCAGGGAAGATATAAAAACTCCCTAATAAGTGAAATATATAGGACATCAGATGGAGTAAGCGCTACTGAAAACACACACACACACACACACAAAATAGACAAGGGGGAGGACAGAGCCTATATGAAGTCAATCAATATTTGTTCAAAGAATAAATGAAAGACTTGTTTTCTTTCTGAGTTCCCAGAGCTCCTCTCCCCAAATCCAGTAGAACGGTTGTGAGAAGAGAGGATAAGTAACTCCCCTTGAAGAAATTTAAGACTCTCAGATGTTATGATTCTGAGTGTCTAGGAATGTAAGATTGAAGCCAGACAGACCAGGAGCCAGCCAAGTCTGACTGGCTGGCTTTGGACAAGGGGTTTATCTCCTTAGAACCTCAGTTTCCCCAATACACAAGGAAACCAACAATAACAACCTAGGGTAAGGGGCATTCCCAGGAGGCAGAGTTTGGGCTAGGTCAGATGCTCCACCAGGTGGGGTACTGGACCCACCAACTCCAAAGTCTCTGGTGACTGGTGGCTTCAGCTGAGGGATTACCTCTATTCCTTCTCCCTGGGGCAGATTCCCAGGAATCCAACAGAGACTCCAGGGCCAGCATACCTGCTGCCCACCTGGCATCTAGCCCAGAAATACCAATCCAGCCGGATTCCCCCCATGAGCAGCGCTCCGAGAGGGAGAGCACTGCAATTCGGAACCCCATGCGCAGGACCCCCAAATGAGCCTTCAGTCCAACCCCTGGCGTTCTGGAGAGAAGACAGATGTCCAGATACCGCTCTGAGGATGGTGCGAGGGAAGGGCAGGAGGGAGGTGATCCAGCCAGGGATCCTCTGGCCATGTCGATGCTGCTAAGAAGCTGAGAAGTGACCGCCAGTTGCCCATCTGGGCCTCTCAAAATCGAGATCTATCTGGACTAGAGACTATAAGGTGAAGCAGGAAGTTCGGGAGTTTATTCTCTACCAGACCTCGCCAGGCTAGGACACTTGCCTCTTGGGCCTCCGCGTTCTCGTCTGTGGAATGGGATACCACCGCCTCCCCGTAGGTACGACACGAGTAGGACACACACTGCAGGTGCTCGGTGATTGGAGCCCACCCCACCCTAGACCCGGGCTCCTGCCCCAGACCACCCGCGCTCTCACCTGGAGCCCGCGCTAAGCGAGTCTTGGCTCCTCCAGAGAGGGTCTTGGAGAGGGTGACAGCTCGGACCCGCAGGGGAACGGCCGCGCCCAGTACGGCTCGGGAGGCCCCAGCCCCGCGTGGGGACCCGCAGAGGCCTCTTCCGAGCTGCCCTCCACCCCCGTGATTAGCGAGGGAACTGACTGTCCCAAAGTCCCCACCAGAGCTCCAGTCCCCCGGACACAGAGGAAGGGGAAGTGAGCACGCCGCTCTCCCTCTCACCCCCGCCGTCACCGGAATGGTTTGCCCCGGATATCCTGATTGGTTCCTCGCTTCCGTTCGAACGCCGCGCCGCCCGGGGTTGCCAGGCGACCGCTCAGCTGCGGCCGGGCTAGCGAGGGCGGAGGCTACGCCTCCCGCCCATCGCCGCTGGCCTCCAGTTCTTACAGCGGCTGCTTTAGCTCGTCGCCTGCCTAGTTCTTACCTTACTCAGCCGATACCTTCTCCTGGTCCCCAACTGGATGAGGCACCCTTTAGGGTTCCCAGTTGGTCCCTTGTCCTGACTTTGCAGCTAACGTACTATGTGAGACCGGACAGGGCCCTTTCCTTCTCTGTTCCCCTAACTGCGCGATGAGAGTGGGTTAGTTTTAAAATGTGCATACCCAGCAGTCCCGAAATTTACAAAGGAAATGACCCTAGATGAATACAGCACAGAATTATATATTCTAAAAAAATGATGGAAATGACTTCAAAGCTCAGCGAAAGAAGATTGATTATAGAAACCCATCCCTCCTGCAGAGGAGCTAAATTAACTGAGTTTTTACGTGCCAGGTAGCTTTATATGATATAACTCGTGTCAGTGCTCATGGCATAACCCTCTGAGACAGACAGTTTTAATTATCCCCACTTTCCGATGAGGAATATTAATGCAGCCATTAAAAATTATGTCGTTAAAATATATTTAAAGTGTGGGGGAAATGCTACAAAAGTATTAGGTTTTTAAACAGTATGTTTCAAAGCACTATGTGCAACATAAATATCTATTAAATACATGATTGTAATTTCACATGTATATATGTACAATCATTTAGAATAGTGGCAGTTAATTTCTTCATTGTACTTTTGTGTACTTCCACATTTCCAACACAACATCTCAAGAAACCACACACGCACACACACTTTTTAAAGAGGATTAGAATAAATTAATTCCAAGCACTAGATGAGGAAATTTTATAGCTGTGAGTCACTATTTGGGCCTAGGGCATTGCTCAGTCTGGAGCCAGCCTCCGTTTTCTATTCCAGGTGTCTTTTATTCTTTGATTGCATTGTCAAGGACTGAGCATTTACTACATACATGCCTTGGGTAGGTGGGGGAGGAGAACTAATAATATGTCAATAGCTAACAATTGTGTTTTCTGGCATGGGCACCAATCAAACTGGAACAGGTACTGTCATAAACAGTGAGTCCGGCTATATCCATAAGAAGCAACTAAATACCAAGCCTGACACTAACTGTGCCCTCTGCTAGACTGTGCTCAAGGCCTTACACACATTTTCTCATTTGACTTTATTACTATCTGAGAAGAGAGATTCTATTACTATTCCCATTTTATAGATGAGATAACTAAGGTTTCTCTGCAACCAGCAGGAGTCCTTTGAACCATTCTGTTATAGTCCCACTTAAATGTGCAAGACCTGTTTGACAGTGGCAGCAAAAGGAGGATCCTGTGATCCTAAAAGACATGGAGAAACTGAGCAGGAACAGATCCAGACTTTGTGCGTCCTGGGGCTTATACAATTTAGGGAGAGTTATTTAAGAAAAGAATTACAAAATTACAAACATAAAATTAGGTAATAAAGCAATCATTTGGTTAGAAAGATAAAACCTCAACAAATGACAAATTCCACAAACATTACAAATCCAGAAAACATTATTTTTATGAATTACATGTTGGACATACCTCTATAGTTTTTTCCACAAACAAGCTCCTGGCTCCATGTATACACTTGAAACCTCTCCTCTGCTACCACATGCTGGTGGTATTGGACACTGTAAAACAATTCATATAGATCGAGATATGACTTCTGACCCTACGCTTTCATGTCACAGTACCAGCTGAGTAAGCTCTGTGTGCTAGGTAGGGTTATTCCTGGAAACCATTCCTATACCAGGTCAATTGTTAATAATTTAACTGTTTACAAAAATGACTGGAAACAACATAAATAAAATGTCAACCCAAACTAAATGTCAAGGTGTTCTTAGCCAGATCCCCAAAATGCTCGCACTTACTGCAACACCATCTGATACAAGGAGAAGTCAGAGTGGAAGGAGATGGTGGTTTTAACAGAGTGAAGTTTAAATACCTCACTTTGGCAAATTTTACAAAAGCATGTGACCATCTGGACAAATTGCTAGGGTGTCTCCCAGATCTTGGCTTCCCTGTCATTAAAATGGGAATGACAGCAGTGCTGCTGCGGTTGGATTCTTCTCTGAGATGGACAATTTTACTCAGGGGTTGGCAGATATTTGAGATGCCTGGGAAAAGGCCCTACTGACCCTGGATCTTCAAAACTTGTATTTGCCCCAAATGCCCTGGAGCTTAAAACAAACAAAACAACACAAAAACTCTGAGCCTCATTCCCAGATTAAGAAAGTGAGTCAAACAGAGAGCTGAATGAATTTCCCCTGGACTCCAATATAGGCCCCACAAAGAGATTATTTGGGCACACTCAGATTCTAGAACTCTGAGCATCTTCATGAGCTGCCAGCATTTGGTGGTGTCCCCAATCACTACCAGGATTTGTTAAGCACCTGGTGCCAATTCCCAGTGATTGAAATGATCCCAGTCCTTCCCCTCCCCTACCATGTGGGAGGGAAAGCACATAAGAATGAAAGGTGGACAAGTTGTCATTAGCGTGCCCTAATGACCGGAGGGAGCTGGAGCATTCTTATGACCTTATCCTGATCCAGCATGTGGGTAACAATAACATCCCACCCATGCACAGGCTCACGGCTGCTTCAGTGCCTCCTCCAGCACCTTGACTTTGGCAATGTTTTCTCCACTCAGTTTGAAACTGAGATGAAATCAGGCACAAGATAGCAGCTCCCTATAGTCTTTGCACCTCATGCCTGCATTTTGTTTTGTTTCATTTAATTTAAAGGCTGTTCTCTCTATACATATTTACTTGCATATGAACTTCTCTGGAAGGACCTACCAGAAACTGGTCACAGTGGTGACTACTGAGATGACTGGGGAACCAGGCAGGAAGGAAAGCTTTTTAGAAAATATTTTTAGACCTTTTGGGTTTTATACTTTATAAATGGATTCTCTACTTTCTAAAACTGTAAGTAACACTTTTAAGAATATTTTATGAGAGAACAAAATTGTCAGTGAATTAAAAGAAAACTCGGCCCAAATATATCTCTCTAGACACTGCAGGTGAGACAGTCAATTGAGATGTCCCTTCTGGAGGGCAACATAGTCACATTTTCCAAAAAAATGTAAATGTTATATCAATAGGTCTATATTGTGATCTAGTAACTGTACTTTCAAAAATTGACCTTAAGTGAATAATGGAAATTCCATAAAGATTTAACAATAAGAATTTTTATTACAGCATTGCTAGTAAGAGAAAAAAAGAAAAGAAAAAGAGATAGAAAAAGGAAAGAAGGGAGGGTGGGAGAGAAGGAGCAAAAGAAAAAAAGACAAAAGAATGAAAGAGATGAAAAAAATAAAGAAAAAGGGAAAGAAGAGAAGGGAAGAGAAAAACAACCACAACCTAATTACCTGGATACAAGCCAATGGAAATAGTGAATGAGACTGGAATAGAAAACTATACAACCATTAAAAATGATGTCTTTGAAGATTGAGTGATATGACAAGATTTTAATAGTGTATCTCTCAACTTGTGTATTTGTTCCAGAAATATTTTTTGAGCCCCTACCATGTGACAAGCATGGTTTTGGCTGCAGGTGGAGGCGCAGTAGCGAGCAAAAGTCCCTGCTTTCATGGAACTGACATTCTGGTGCAGGAGAGAGACAGTAAATGTACATTACATGTGCAATACTGGGTCTGCATAGGCCAAGTTGACACAGGGGGCTGTGGAAGCCCAGGGGAGTGACCGCTAACTAGTTAAGGTCTTTGAGAGCTGCAAGAGCTGGAAGCTGAGTAGGAGCTCTCCCAGTGGGTGTCAACCTTGGCTGCACATGAAAACCTGATACCTGGGCCCCCTTCCCAGAGATTCAGCTGTAATTGATTTGGAGTGCAACTAGGACATTGGGATTTATAAAACTCCCTAGGTATTACCTACTGCTGACCAGCAAATCATGACAAAACTCAGCAGCTGAAGACAATAATCATTTTTTCTCTCTCATGGTTTCTGTTGGACAAGAATTCAGGAAGGGCTTGGTTTGGCAGTTCTCTCAGGGCTTCTCATGAGGTCTGACAAGGGTGGGCCCACACATAGCTGGCAAGTTGGTACAGATGTAGGCTAGAAGCCTCGGTCCCCCTCCAAATGGTCTTCTCCACACTTTTCCTGCAAATAGAGATTCGCAGTGCACATCACCGTAGTAAAGGCTCTGAAAAGTTCTGGAGAAGAAACACCCTACTCTTTACTCACTCCTGTTTCCCAAATGTATTCCACTCTGAAGCCCTATTGTCCCCACAACATTACCAAACAGCCCACAGAAACACTGAAAACACTGCCTCCAGAGGGTGGGTCTCTGGGATGTGATGATAGTCCCTTCCTCCTCTGCCAGTGCTCCCTTTAAAGTACAGGGTACCTCCTCTGGGACCAGACTGCCCAGGCACCAGGAACTGCCCTCCATCTCCAGGTCCCACAGTGTGTGCCTCTCAAACCACCTTGGTGTCTCCAGGGAGCCAGGTTGCCAAAGAATTGGGTCCATCTTGCTGTGGTCATTTTCCAGGTCTAAGGATATCCCCTGCTGGCTCAGTTGCCAGGCTGTGTGTCCATGAGCTGGGCCCTTCCTATTTCTGACCCTCAGTTTCTTCATCTGTACAATGGAGATAATGACATGCACTTCGAGTGGATCCAGGAAGGTGTCCAAAATACACAGGCCAAGTGAGGTTCTGGACTTCCATCCACAGGAAGGATTTGATCACAAACCAGACAGGATTAGAGCAACCACAGGCCCAAGCTGTAGTTGCCGAACCCTCGAATTCATGGGGCCCTATTTCCCCTGGATTCCTGGGAAGAGGTGTGCAGCCAGGAGATACAGCAGTGTGGGGCTCAGCGCAGGAGGAG